CAGCAGCCTCGGTGGGGATTGCGATTGTGGAGAGGAGTCAGGTTCGATATAGTGTTTGTATATAGTCCATTATTTTAATTTATCTGCATATATATTCCATTATTTACATCACTTCCTTATTAGCATTATTTCATTTTCTATTCCAGTCCATAAGCCTCTGCCTTGGTCCCCTTCCCTTTCCTTTCAGGGAAGGAGTGGCCTTAGAGAGCATCTGCCATTCATTTAGTGGCTGGGCCAGCCCTAACCCTTGACAGTATCTTGCAGTCTCGTAACAGAGGAATCTTATTTCAGTGTGACATTGCTATAGACCTGGAAATTGATGTCTGGGCTCCCTCTGTACTAAGGGGGAGAGAAAGGCACCTACAGAGAATGTTTAAATTGCTGATGGCCACCGAGGAAGCCATGATTCCTACTCTAATATGATATTTGTGTTTCCCTTATGTATTTGTCTGTCTTGTATGAGATTGCCATGAAATGAATAAAACTTTTTCTCGCTAACTGAAAATCTGAGTTCTTGCTACTTATTTTTCCCTCTTGTGTTCTTTTAGGTATTTTCACTTCTACAATACAGGACTGCAGAACCAGCGAGTTTTATACGTACAAGACTCCTTAGATGCCGATGCCAAAGTTTTTCTTGATCCAAATAAACTTTCTGATGATGGCACTGTGGCTTTACGAGGTTAGTGATGCATTTTTTTAATAAGTCTGTTTTCAGCAGAAGTTGGAAACTGTTTCCAGCTCTTCACCTACAAAAATATGGCTAGAGTAGCTTGTTTTAATCAAAGTAGTCACAAAGCCATATGTGGGTTTGTACAGTGTTTTGGAAGGAAAGTTTCTAAATCTACATTGTATTCACAATTAACTTGGTTCAGTTTTTCAAAGTCTTCTTTCACAACTCTTAACAGTTTTCCACTGAAATATGAACAGATCGAGGCTGTCATAGAATCACAGAATTATCAGAGTTGGAAGGGACCTTAAAGATCATCTAGTTCCAACTCCCCCACCATGGGCAGGGACATCCCCCAGAGCCTGTCCATAGCAAGGAAAAAGAGTTTATGCATTTATATTGACTAATTCTCTTAAATAATATTTTGTATCTTGAACACAAGCTAGCAAGTGAAAGTAAGAGGCAGTGAAGGAATGTAGCATTAAATTTTATGAGAAACACAAAATTCCTTGTGTTCGGTAGAACTTTAACTTGTGTTACCTGTCCATTTTCCCACCCTTATTTGATTATTGTAGAAGCAAGGTTCTTGGACATAGAAGTCCTTGAAAGTTTGTTTAAGGCCAGTTAATAGAAACAGCAGACAAAATTACTGTATGCTTCTTTAACTGTGACCTAGTTGAAAAGAATAAATACAGCTTTTTGTAGTGAAAAGTCCTACCTTATACTGTGTGTATAAGAAATTGTGTTCATATAATCTTCCTGTATTTCTAAAAAGTTTATGACAAAGTCTTTTTGCAAGTACACTTGAAGAAACAGCAGCAATGGAACAAGAGGGAAAAGTCCTGATGTTAATACATAAATTGATTTAAAGGCAGGGACAGGAGTAACTGGATGTCCAAGTTTAAATCACCAGCAGAGTTCTGTGAGGGACTGTACTAGGACTTGCACTGTTCAGTATGTTCATATATATTAGAAGAAGGAGGGAGGAGTGAGGTAGCAGAGTTTGGTGATGATACAAAGTTATTCCAGGTAAAGGCTGAAGAAGGACTGAAGGGCTGCAGGATGACCTTAGTGACAGTGAGTGGGCAACAAATTAACAGGTAAAAGTCTCTGTGCAGATAAATTAAGTGGTGTACAAGGGAAAAACAATCCTAATCTAATTTGTAGAGGAATAGTTGGAATGGACTCTGAGCTGAGCATGACCACTTGGCAGCAATTATTAAGCATTAGTAGATAGCTCCATGAAAATGTCAGCCTGGGGCTCAGTAGCAGCCAACCAAGCACGCCATATCAGAAATGACTGAGATGGAAATAGAGAACAAAACAGAAAACACCATTACATTAGCAACACGGAGATTTCTACAGTAACGTTGGATACTAAATGTAGTCCCCTCACCTCAAAAGGGGCTATGAAATACAATTCATATGAGGGCAGTAGGAACAGTCAAAAGTATGGAGCAAAGATCAGAAACAATTCTGTGTACCTGTATCACTCAGTTTGGAAAAGAGGCAATTTAGGAGGGATATAAGATGTGTACAGAATCATTTGTGGCATGCAGTAGCATGGAGAGAGTGAATAGGGGTTGGTTAGTCATGTTTTCTCTTACAAGAGTGAGGAGATGTCAAATGAAGACAATGGGAGTCAAGTCCAAAGGAAACAAAAAAAGGTGATGATTCATTCCTCAAGGTAGAGGTTTGTGGAACCCTTTGCCAATGGATGTTAGTGGTGTAAAAAACCTTACTGTTGGTTTAAAGGCAAGCTGGAGGGAAGGAGGAAGGAAGCATTGGGGATTATTAAGCAACTGCTTCATAGAAGAGAAATCTCCTAAGCTAAAAATGGTTAGAGGTTGTAAGAAAACTTGAGGGAAATACTACGTGTGCTTGCATTGTTTGTTCTTATTCTTGTAAGCATGTTGTTGTGGTTACTAGTGAGGACAGCTTATTCTGAATCAGAATGGCCACTTTTATGTTCTTATGGGGGAGAACATGTTAAGGTGGCACAGTAGTGCATCTCAAACCTATGATTTTTATGAAATGCAACTTTTTAATGTGTTTTTTTCAGTAGTTAGTTTCAGTTGTATACAGGCCAATGATAATTCAATCACTTAAGTGGATTTGCAAGAGTGAATTTGATCCTTATCAACTACGATAGAAGCTCTTCTGAATTTTTTTCAGAATTGTGTTTTCCTCGTGCTTTAAATAGAGCAACATATATATCAGAGGTCTTAGCTGAGAATACTAGTGATTAATCCATTTCATAGAATCATAGAATGGCCTAGGCTGGAAGGGACCTCAGAGATCATTTAATCCAACCTCCCAGTCATGGGCAGGGACGCCTCTCAACTAGATCAGGCAACACATGGGGCCCAAACGGGCATCGCACTCGCGACCTTGGTGTTATCAGCACCATGCTATCTGTGTGCTAAGGCAAATTTTTCCAGTTACTTCAGTTTTCATAGTTTTGCAGGGTCTAGATTTCAGTGACTCCAGGGTTGAAGTGGTCTTTACTGTATTTCAGGGTACACTGCTTGCGTCTCAGAGTGAGATTTAAAGAGCGAAACAGTACCAAAGAAGTCAACAGAAACTAAATTTTCTGTCTGCATGCATTTTCAGTTCTCCACCTCTTCCTCTCAAACCCAGGGACATAGAAGAATTATCATGCAAGTCATAATTCAGATGTTGGGCGTAAGGAGTGTTACTGAGTATGCATGCTGAAATTCAGATCTATCAACTGCTTGAGAAGTCCACAAAGACTGGAAAAGTTCTGTGAATTTGAAATTACAATAGATGTAGTTGCTTGTACTGTCTTAGTAAGCACTCTTCTCTCAGTGTTCGGTGAACACTATTCTGCTTTCCCAGTTTCACTTCTCTTCCATTGGGATTCAGCTAGCATGTAGTAAATAATCAAAAGCTGCATGGCAAAATAACGAAACACTTTTGATAAATTATTGGATTACTTGTGCCTGTTCTTTCTTTATCTTGTTTGGTTCCAATTTCCTAGGTTATGCATTCAGTGAAGATGGTGAATACTTTGCGTATGGCCTGAGTTCGAGTGGCTCTGACTGGGTTACTATCAAGTTTATGAAAGTAGAAGGTCCTGAGGATCTCCCAGATACACTAGAGAGAGTGAAATTCAGTTGCATGGCCTGGACCCATGATGGGAAAGGCATGTTCTATAACTGCTATCCAAAACAAGATGGGAAAAGTGATGGTAAGTAGGACCGTAGTAATTGCATATTATGTGGAGGCAAAATGACCTTTTCAGTAAATTGGCACAACAAATAATTAGCTCTGCTAGTCTATACTGAAATAACTAGCTGTACCAGTTAATGCAGTTAGATATCAGTCTGTCTTGTATGGCCAAAGCTGATACTCAGTGCGAATGTCCTCTTGTCTGCCTGTCCATGTCTTTCTCTTTAAGAGTTTTCTGCTCCTTTTCTTTTCCTCTGCAATAATTTACTTGGCTTTTGTACAGTTTGTTACTGGATGCAATTTGATGTCTGATGACAGCTTATTAGATCTCTTCCCCTTATGCATTTGTGTGGGCATAGGTGAACTGGCTTGGGAGGTTGACGTGGTGAATAGCAATCTGGGGCGTAAGTTTTTTGTTATTCAACCAGATTAATTCATCTGTGTTTCACAGCACAGCAACACAAAATGTTTATGCTAGCAAAACTCAAAGAGCAGCGCACAAAGTAGAATAAATTGCTGAGGAGCGTCGGTAGAGAAGGAATTTAGCAGCTCTTATTATAAGGCAGTGCTGCTGAAAAATTTCTTCTGGAGCTGTGCTCTTTTTTAAGCCTTGGAGAGAATCTAAATTTTGCCTCTGTACTTGCTTTTGCAGCCTGTCGTTTTGCCAGACTTGCAAGTTAGATACCAGCTTTGTGGTTTTTACTTTTAAGCATGTTTGTATTTCAGAAGCTGAAGCACTGGAAAATGCTGGAAAAACAAAATTTAAGAAAAGTAATCAAGTAGCACCTCATACAGTGCTTTAAAATACTTTTTTATTTATTTTCAGCAAATGAAAGTATGAAAGTTTCTAGGAACATTAATTAGCAATAAATCTTCTCTTAGTTGCCCACAGTGAAATGGGAGCAAAAACATCATTAGAGAGTGGCAGGGATTGGGTTTTTTTTCTGTGCTTGCTTAGCATATCTAGAAAGCAAAGCTTGATATGATAAATCTTCACAGTTGAGGAATGTATTATCAACAATAAAAGGAAAGGGTAACCCTTTGAACAGGTTGGCATTGTGGTTCAAAGTTTTATTTTGTTTTGGAGGGGCTTGATTGGTTTTAGGAGAATGGTTTTAGACTTAAACTATTCCTTGTAGTCTCTGCTGAATTACTCTTATGTATACAAAGGGATGCAGAAGTTTCTAAGGGTTTTATTTGGTGTTGATGGATTTCTTTGAGAACTAATTGGTTTAAATATCTGTATTTCACTAGGTACTGAGACCTCTACTAATCTGCACCAAAAGCTACATTATCATGTATTAGGAACTAACCAGTCAGAAGATATCTTATGCGCTGAATTTCCCGATGAACCAAAATGGATGGGTGGAGCTGAGGTACGGTAAACACACTGAAGCTTGTCGTCATTATGTTGAGTTTTTCAAATTCTAACAACTAGTAGTAGGTATGAAGTGGAAAACATTTTATTAAAAGAACCCTTTTTATTCATGTTGCAGAGTTGACCATTGAACTAAGACTCGTTGATTAAGAATTGCTGAGAATAAAACTATCTACTTTGCTTTAAATCGGTCCTCAGGCCTGTAATGCCACAATCCCATACAGTCCTTCTGTATCGAGGACATTCTGCCTGATACATGTTCCAGGATAGAGGAGAATCATTTGATGGGACAGTGTCGCTATTCTTTTTTCTTTTAAGCTTTGAGTTCCCAGCCTTCACTTCCTGCACAAAATGCTTATTCCAGTAGTGAGCATGTGTGCATATTCCCTGCCATGTGTTTATTTTGTTTGTATTTCTTTTCATGATGTCTTTCCTGGAAACAAAGTAAGTTAAAATCTGTGTGCACAGTTGGAGCCTTAAGTTTCCTTACAACCAGTTTTATTGGCACAAATATGATGTGGATTGTGTTACTGGAGATGGAGTTGATTTCTTAAGCTTATTTTGTTGAACTACTGCTATATTGTGCAAAGTCCCAGTGAGCTGTGCTCTGTTCCTTCCTTACGTGAATGATTCAAAAGTCTCTAACTTTTGTAATTAATGTGCATTTCATTCTTCGTTTTAGATTTAACAGTACTTTGAAGTGCACTATTTTAGGTGTTGTTGGAACATAGTGTTTGTGAGGGAACTGATGTTTTTCCAGTGAATAAAAACCTGTTGCAATGCTTTGTATGCTCCGAGCTACTGTGTTTAGTCAGTACGTTTTGTTTCTCTACAGGGTCTTTTTTAGTCCAACGCTTCTGACAAATATGAAATGTTTTTTGCCCTGAGTTAGGGTATTCAGTTCCTAGAAGTACTTTTTTCCCCTCAGAGTAGCTGCTCTTAAAAATCTGGTGATCAGTTTGTGTCAGTTTTCAACACATCAACCTGTGAAAATGTTTGGGATTTCTTTTCTATGGGCTACCAGAAAAGAGAAGTTCTTGTAAAGAATTTTAACAGTGGGATTCAAAATCGGTGAGTGAGAATGTGAAGGGCTCCCCAGCAAAGTGACCACACTGAGCTTTCTCTATACAAATCAGACTTATCTGAAAGTTTTCTGAATAAAATATTTTTTTTAAGTAATCTCATATATTCATGTAACATACCTTTAACAGCTGGCGTTAGTATTAGTGTAAACTTGCAAATGAGGCTCTGGAATTATTTTTACTGTTCAAAAACTAGTCAGTTCTGTTCAGTAACTGGCAATAAAATGAAATTTGGAAATCATTATCCTTCTTTTTCCCTAGTTCTGTAAATAAATGGGCTTTCTGTTGGTGACAGATGTCTTGTTGTGATGTATCCACTGATTCACGAGTGATGCATATTATTATTATTATTGCTTTACAGTGGCGTGAGCTAAACTACACATGTTGTTGTGAAGGCAAATTCATTTTCCGTGGAGGAGGGCTGTTGCAGTCTGATTCATTAGACTATCCAGATTTTTTGGGGTAGTGTAAGTTTGCAGTCTCAGATGGTATTAAATCCCATGGAAATTATACTTTCTGCGATAGATATAAAGGTACACTTTTCTTGTAGGTAGCAGAACCTTTGAGGTAATAGCACACTAACAGAGCCTTTTCTTAATCTAAGTTGAAGAAGCAGTACTGGAGCATTTCAGGATCAGAAATACTGAATCAAATATGGGGAGGGATGTGGAAGAGAATAGAATACAGTGCTTGTACTGAGAAGCAAAGAGTTTTCCTGGCTGCGGTACGGAGAAGCAGCCATCCTGCATCTCCTGGTTCTTCTGTTGTGGAAAAAAACCCCAAAACTTGAGGCAGCCTTAAATACAAAAGAAGTATTTAATTTTTTTTTTTATACAAAAAGTCTCAGCTACTTTTTTGTGATTAATGAGAATATGTAGCCATTATATTAAGTGTTCTTTGGTGGGAAGACAGGTAGCAGTAGCTCTTTCATAGAGCTGTAGCATGTAGTGCAGCTCCCATTCTGAAGCGACTGGAACTGAAACAGCCCCGTAAGTACTGAGAAAGTGGGGAGGACAGTGAATAGAGGAAGGCCTCACTGCTGTGGGTTCCTGTTTATTAAATTTATATGGCTGCTTATGACTGTTTTCTTGACCTCTAGGAGGCATAAACTTCCAGAGATACTGGTATTTAAGAAGAAATGCTATTTTAAGGAGTTGTAAAGCAGAGATCCACCTAAGTAAATAATTATGAGCTTATCTAATTGAAAGTACTTTAAACCAGCTGATATTCTGGTGTTGTGCTGTGAGCTTCAGCTGAAAAATGTGGCTCTGTCATTCTGATACTAATGAAAAAAACCCATGCTCTGCAATTAATAAAACAAAAAAAACACAATGCAATTGCAAAATGTGGTTTCATCCCTGTACAGTAGGTCAAAAATCTTCAGGCCATTCAAAAAAGTTGTCTGGTAAATTTTTTTGAAGTACATGTTTGATAAAGTGGAAGACCACAAAGTAATGGGGGAAAATTTAAAATGTTTAGTAAAAATCTAATTACAATGGCTTATTGGCATTGTCCTGAATATTCTTACTTGGTGTTCGTATGCTGCCACAGATTTAAAATACAGCTTTGCACAGCTCAGCATTTTATGCAAGTCCAGTTTCATGCATTCCTGTCAGATTAATAAACAGGTATTTTTATTTTAGAGGTCTTTGCTGGGCCAAATAGGTAGAGACGTTTGGGTTCTCTTGTTTTACACAAGCTCCCGTGCAGACTGTTGGGTTATGGTGTGGGTGGTCTAGTCTCAACCACACCAAACCTTTCTCTGTAGTGGGGGCAGCACTTGAACTCCCATATCTGGGTTTAGAGCAGAATTTGCAGGTCTCATAGCCATTGGGTTGAGGGAGAGAAATACCTGGCTTGCAAGTGAAAAGCACATGACAAGGAGATCCTTCAGCGACTGCAAAAGTAATAATTTTGCCATAATTCTTAAAAAAATGAGTGCACTGCAGTGAGTTGGTGTGGTGTGTTTTCAATAGGGAGAAGAAACCAGGTCACTGATAAGGACAAAAGAGATTTGTGTAAAATTTTGTCAGCTTAATATATTTACAAGACAACATGCAAGAAAATAGCTTCAGGTGGGTTTTTTTCCCCCATTACACATTCAACACCACCCCCAAGTATGTTTGATTTAAACAAAATCTGGTGCTGAAAATTGTGTTGACGCAGAGATGTAGATGCATTTTCAACTCCTCACTTGAATGGATTGTGAGAAAAAGAAGTCTGTTTATTGTTAGTCAGATATATACATTTTTAAAAAGAGGCTGTCAAATCTTTTCATTAGTTTAGGAAAAGCATATACATTTCTGGTACGGATTCTAGGATGGTAGGGGAGTTGAGAAGGGCAGGAATGGATTTTTGTCGGAGTAACATCCCAGTAGAGGGCAGTCTGGTATGAAGATTTTTAAAACCTTGACAATGTCATAGCTACTCTTAGGAAAGAGGAGCTCGCCATGCTTCCCTATTTAAGTGGCATGTTCTTGCTTCCTCTCCAGACTCACAGGGCATATCTCTCTTTTCCAGCCAGACTGTTATTCTCAAAGTTAAACAATAAGTTATATAAGAGCCTTTCACAGTTGCTACTGTTAAAGTCCCTACGGTACTGGCAGGAAAGTAAACAGGAGAGAAAGGAGTGAGTGAGGGGAACCCTCCCATCTCAATTCTGCCAGCAGTAAAACAAGCACAATTTTTCATGCTGTTGTCTAAAGAACTGTACACAGTCCCTGAACTGACTTTTTTTTTTCTTTTTCGTTGAGAGCTGTCAGTTAACATTAGTGGTTCTCAGCCAGGGAAGTGAGCACAGAGGAGTAGGCTGTGCCAGATGTGTGCTGGCTATGGTGTATTTTCACTGCAGGAACGTGCAAATGCAGCATCCGCAGGGGAAAAGTGAGCAGCCTGAAGGGGAAGGGCTCAAAACATTGTTAGTTTTCTCAAGTGAGACTCACTGCTGGATAAAACAGGACTCTGGGAATTTTTCTAAAGCTTTACACTATCTTTGCCAAGGCTAATCTGGAATAGAACCATACTATGAATATCTTCCTACAGCTCTGGCGGTAGGTATGGAGACTTTTACTGTTAAGAAACAGGCAGGCAATTTTTCTGGCTGCGCAAGGGGTTGTAGTAGATGGTCATCTCTTACATAGCCAGGTTCCTGATGCTTTATTGTTTTCATTGCACTCAAAAGCAAGCTGAAAGCCAAAAGAAAAGACGTGTGTGATGTTTGTCTCCTCAGAAGGCTACTGATTTTACTCTCTACTATATTGAAGAGAGAATGCATGTGAATACGCATGTACATGTTGCTGGGTTTCTCTTCTAACAAAGCTGTTTGGTGTCCTGTTGCAACTGAAACAGTTCTAAGCATGGTGATCTCAGGTCAAATTCTGGTTTTCTGGCTTTGGTAGGTATTCTTCAACCCCAAACTTAGCAGAGGCTCAGAAGGATATGGTCAGAACAGAAATGCACATTTATGTCTGAAATCCAAGAATAGAAGCATGCCTGAAATAAGAAAATTGAATTAATACCCAAAGCAATGGGGAATGGATGGATAGGACATATTAAAAATATTGTTTACCTGTAACCTGTTTATGTCCCACATAGAGTAAGTCAGACCTGCTCCGCAGAATGTAGTAGGTGGTTTCTGTTGGACCTGATCCTGCAATGATGCATTTCTGTGATCATCCATCATTAGGGCTTCTGAAATCTAGTTGATTAAACTAGCAAGATGCAAATAGAAAACAGAACAAAGCATTTGCAGCCTTAGAGTACCAGCTGCAGGGGCTTTGGTTGTGCAGACAGGTGCAAGAGGTCACTTAGTGAAAGGGAGTTCTTGTCCCAATCCTCATTTTCTCATAAGACTGCTACAACCTAAAATGTGATAGGAGCTTTAGGCAAGTTTCAGTAACTTTGTGGCACTAGTGCA